AACACACTCCTCTGGCCTGCTGCGCCCTCAGCAAACACTAGCCAAGCAAACCCGATCCACACGAACTACAGCTCTAAGTGCATACCAAACCCTACTGTGACAGAGGAAGACCATCCGCAAAGCATAAATGCCGAACCTGGTACAATCAGCACCAGTGGAACTCACGTTTGCTCATTACCCTAAATCCGTGTTCTTCGCGATTCCTGTTGCCATCCGGAGCAACTGAAGCAAAACCATATTCAACTCGTTCAGAACAGTCCATTGCAAAGCCGCCCTCGACACTCACAACGAAGGCGCTACCTACACGATCGCACGCTACCTCCTCCACTTCTCTACTAGGTCAAATGGACTCCTGATAGGCTTTCGAGTGGACGGATAGCTGACAGGTCGGCATTGAAGTGGAAAGAGGTTGGCGGAGACGAGGAGAATGGATGCGAGTCTAGTTCAAGCCTTGCTCCTCTTTTCACACGGATGCTCCTTCAAACCAACTGCCTCGCGAGTAGCAATGGACGCACGAGCTTTCTATCCTTGTTGATAATCATCTAGTTCCTAGCCATGTGAAGTCGGTGCATACTCATCTCTTAACACAGCCTACAAAGAATAGCCATTGTGAAAGCCCAATGAGGTTGGGGGAGTGAGTCAGTGGTGATGGGAGAAAGTTGTTTTGATATGCAAGAAAAGCAGGTGAGGTTCATGCTGGTTCGAAAGTGGGGTCTAAGGCACCAACCGTGGTGTGGTACTTGATACGGAACGATGGCCTGGAGGTCGCACGTTGGATCCTCGCCGCCATCGTTAAGCTAATCTAATGGCACCGCAAATCACGACATGTGCAGGATTTGATAACAATTACATCGAATACGATGGGCGCTATGAAAATGTGAAGAGCTTGATTGGTTATCTTTAATAAACTTTTGGTACACGATAAAGCTTTGAGGTGAAAAATATCGTCATGCTAAAATTTTGATTTAAAAGTCAACAAGGATTAAATGTGAAGGCAGTAACTGCAAAATTACTTGCAGAATAGCGATGACTGATTACATGCATCTAAGTCTTAAGTCTACACAGAAGCACGCAGGTGAAAAAATATATGTAATTCAGCACTATGAGTGGCATCTTTCATAAATTAACGATAAAATTTTAGGTTCAAAGTTTGAGATCAAACTTCCGCTCGTAATATTTTTATAAAATCAATAAACTTGTGCGGGTTGTGGCAGAAGTAGTGGAAAACATAGCTTATGCATTACAAACCAAATATAGCAAACACTTCTGCGAATCGAGTTCTTAAAGCAGGTAGGGACAGCTCTGCATAATATGTGCATGGGAAGCATTTGATTAACCCTTAACTTCGCAAAACTATTTTACGATAAATACAATTTTACTACTTATGCAAGCAAAGACGAAATTTGTAGGCGTGGTATCAGAGAGGAAATTTGCGCCTTGCCCTCAAAATTTTGTGAAGTTGATGTTAATTTTCCCTCTTACCTTTATTGGTTGCTATTATGTGACCTAGAGTCCCTATTAAATCCACATCGTCACTGTTTCTCCACTAGCCCGCTTACATCTCTGATGGGCGAATGTTTTCGGTAAACGTGCTATTTTTCGTGCTACTGTCTGTCACCTTTCCTTCTACTCAAGAATGGCCGTCCCCTCATTCCGAAACGTACACAGATAAAATTTATAGGTGCATCGACTCTCTTACCCAGACTGTGAAGTTTTATGGAAACAAATACAAAAACCTTACTATAGACAGTCTGTTGGGGTTGGCCATTTTACGCGGTTTGTGCAATTTCTTCGTCATTCGATTCTTAGACTCGATTGGTAGCATTTGTAATTCTAATCTGTTACCACCTTACATAATTAAGCGTGTGTGTGAATTGTCGGTGTTAATAAATAGTTCCTTCGATGCCATGAGGAATTACATACTGCCGCATAAGCTGGGTTTTCTGTCGACAATTGGATGGAAGGCAAATACGTTTATGGGAAATACAATGTATGTATCAGAGAGTCCCAAAAGTACGCTTGTTTTTATTGCTAATTCTACCAAAGTTGTATCCTTGGCACAAAACGAGAATTGTTTGGCCGAATTAGCCAATAGAACGAAAGCTGGCTGTGTTATATCTAAAATGTGCGAGGAAATGTTTTTTGGAGGCATCTATCATAGTTTTCAGCTAACGCGGCAGGTGTTTTATTACCAAGCTCTCTTAAGAGTATTTCAGGTTTACCATAGTAATTACCTTTCTAGAGTGGTTGTCGAACCAGAAATCAGACGAAAATGGATGTTTATCAAATGAGCGAAACTCTCTGCTACTTTGTGTTGTCGGAATTCGGGATAAACTACCCAAAAAGGAATTTGTCCACGCCTATTCGGAGTTTGTTAATGGAACAGAGTTAGTGGCAAGGAGGTTCTCCATGCTACCACCATTTTACGGCGCAATATCTTTTCCGAATTTTAGTATTTCTGTTTACACATATAAGCGGCTCAGTGAATGCATGTGCTCTTCTTTGCTCTTACGTCTTTGATAAGTACTTGGTATTTTTCTTACCAGAGGTTGGAGTGTTTCTCGTTGTGGATTGTTATAATGAATTTTTCTTATAAGCAAGTTGTAATTTTCTAGCGATTTTGTGTTTGAACATGTGCAACTAGTAACGCATGCCTCGTCGAGTTCTATACATCCTATCAACCATTAAGAAAGTAATTTAGCCTTTTTGGGTGACTACTAATCTTCCTCCTCAGCCTTAACCTACTTGAGTAAAGGCGAGTGTATCTTAAATCATCATCCTTTATCCTCTGTAAATGAGGCTAATGGAAGGTTATTTGCGTGTGCCTATCAGATTTTTTCGTACTGTAGTTGTCTACTGTGGACTTGGAGGCTACTTTCAAATGGCGCACCCGGCTATGATGGAGGAGATAATTTCCTGGCAGGATTCTTCGGGTTGCTTTAAAGCTGTAGTTGCGAACGAGGACAAGCGCGAGTTCAAGGACGACCTTGAAGTGGATAGACCACTGGAAGGTTGGTTCCACTGTTATTCCAAACAAATTCTCGATTTTGGGATCACCGTTTCGTAACGTCATGGTCTAACTTTGGGTCTCAAAGAGCAATGATCAACGACTCTCATTCAATGGATTCATATCTTTGCCTATGTCTTCCTTGCAGAGGAGGGACAGGGAGCGCCTTTCAAATCTTGTGTAGCCTTTAATATTTTTCTTGTAAAATAACGATGAAAAGTCTTACTGCTTTTTCCATCGCCAGATGGGTGCTTACCACATCTGACTTCAATGGCAGTAAATGCTTTGGCAATGCACCTCTATCGCTTCGCAACAGAAGTCGTATTCGTGCCTGATTTTCATTCCGTTCTCCAGATGGAGACCATCTTCCTTAACAACGCGTATGTCTTCCCTTGTGCCGACGCTGATATTTTGTATATGAGTTAAAAGTAATGAGGGATGCTTCTTGAAGTTAAGTCGAAGCGGTTGCAAGTACGTGTATTGAAAGTTTTTTCGTAACTTAGTGTTTGTACGTTATTGCCGAACATGGGATTCATGCTCGCTGCACTCCTTCACTGGTAGTTGACCAATTGTAAATATGACCAATAATTAAGCATCACAGGGTGGCAGGGTTAGGATTTATTCCCTTGAATCCTAATAACTTAGATGGGTTATCGAAACTTAATTGAAATTGGTTACCTTAGTTGCCTACTATAAGTCCTTACAATTAGTCACAACTTCATAAAATAATATAATCAAAGTTATTTTATGTTAGTTGTCTGTTTAAAATGCATGATAATTAAGTCTTGTGAATGTTTGTAAGTCATTAACGCCTTTTTGTCACGATTCGCTCTCAATTTGCTCTACTTGGCTCCCTTTTGGGTATGATTTGGATCCAAGCACCATCGAAAGCTCATGTTCCGCGTACACATATCTGCGGCTTTACTGTAGGCAGAACCTTCCCGACTTTGTGGCTCCGGAGACGTCGCCGGCGCTGTGGTCACAGCAAGAGAATCGTCCCTATGCATTCGTCCCAGACACCGTACTTTGATGGAAATATCAGTGCCATTATCTCTAGCCTGTGTTTGCACTTCTCACTTTTCTATGCGTATTGTCCTTTTACTACACGACTCTCTGAAATACACACCTATTTGTCACTGCGTCTTTTTGCCCATTAATTTGTTTCTTTATTGACTGAGAATTGCTTGTGTGATCCTTCTCTACCTTAACATTTCACCTCCAAGCCACCTGTTCGTGGGCTCGAATGAATAGCGAAGCAGACTGTTGATTATCAGCTTGACAACAGTTTTGCTTTGCTCTGCTTACTCATCTGACGGGAATAGGATTCTTACGACCTTTTTACTGTGCTACAGGCACGTGATCGTCATGGCTTCATGATGCTTTTCATCCCCACTGCCATTGTGTGCGTCATTTCACTGACAAGTGGGAAGTTTTAGGGGGCTTTCTGATTCTCTTGGGTGAAGAGGGCAGCTTTGTCTTCCATAAAACTCCTTGTCTGTTTTTCCTTCCTCTTGGAGAAATGTAAAATATGGCATCCAAATTCATGCCTACTTCTGGAATGTGGTCAGGTGTATCAATGACGTGGATCGGACCCAACCAACTCCTCGAGGAGACTTTTATCCGAGATTTCGATTCTTCTTCGTCGGAGGCTAATCTGAGGGCCATTCGGTGAGTCTGCTTATGCTTTGCACCACTCAAGAGTTTTTATTTTCATTATTCCCTCCTATGATCTACGATCAGTTAAAATTAAGTCAAATCTCTGGAATTTATTGGTCAATTAATTTTTTTGGGTTTTAATTGTATTATATGTTTTTTTCTGAAAAGTTGCAGTAGGACATTCGTTGATCTTGTGAATGTTAAAGGAAATTTTACAACTCAACTTCAAGATCAGTTGTTACCCTCTTTGTGCGGTTTCTAAGCCTAGTATGAAATCGTGATGAAAACAGATCTTTCCTAAACTGAAGGTATCAAGTCCATATCACCTCTTTTTTGCGACTATTTAGGAGTATCCGAAATTTCATCACCGCCAATCCGGTCAACAAGCGAATTGTTGTCGAAAACGACCTTATCCGAGGGAGGTTAGTTTGGTCATTCTCAACCATAAGGCATTTCCTCAGACACTGAAGTACTTTTGACATGACGACTGCTCCATATAATGCGTCCAAATTGTGCACACGAAGACCGTCACAAAATGTGTTAATTGTGCATTCAGAATTATGTCTCTCACTGCGGCTTTTTCAACAACCGCCGACTATTCGTCCACCTTCAAGAGGAACTTCCTGTGTATGTACGCCAGCTTCTTGCGTGAAAGCTCTGCTTTCGCTGAGGAATTGTGCAAGCAGAGGGACTTTCTAAATGACCTCCTCGATGCAGGTATTTTACAATCTGCATTAGTTTATCCTCTCAAACAATGAAAGTGCTTTCATGGAACGATCACTGATACCGACATTAGAGGGCACGCCTTTGAAGATTCTTTCTGACCTTAACGTTTATTGCGTACCTTGCGTATCTTACCGACTAAAATTAAACTCACCACAAACAGATGCATCTAAAAGGGACTCGAAGCGCTAAAAAGCTTTGATTAATAGCTCTCATCAGTTTTTCTAAATTTGCCAAAATATTAATAAGCTGTTCATTCAGCTTTATTGACCATCCGGTTTGCAAGAATGATCTTCCAGCAAGACTTTTGGCTTTCTGTTTGATTCTCGAGACTTCATTACACTGTTTGCTATCCTTTCGCCTCCAACTCTTCTCCAGTAGGGTAGTTTGTTAGCATCAGAAACTTCCATGGTCGCAAACTTAAGCCAGGAACACCCCTGTTATCCTTACCGTACTTATTTTAGGACTTTTCAGCCGTTACTAGGTAGCGCATTGAGAGAACGAAATCGCTGGTGGACACAGGATGTATTGCCAAGTCACGTTCCATTAATGTCACTTTATCTACCAGTGGATCTTGCAGTTACTGAAAATAGAATTAAAATGATTTGGAGGATACAACTCCGTCTAAGTTCGAAGCATAACGCGTGATAACACCACGCCTTAGTGACGCGCTTTCTTGTGGGCTTTATTGACCTTTTGGCAGGAAAACGCATTATGTGCACCTTATTCCTTTATTCTCATATTTACGTGCTCTCCTTACTTGCTGTAACCTTTAAACTCATGTAACGACTCACGTTTCATGAAAGAAATCTTTATCACCAGCCGAACTAGGATGCTCTCAAATGGAGATGTCGAGGTAATTTTTAGTTTAAAAATATTGCAGCATCCTGTCTACGTATTTGCAAGTATTAAACTGAACCACTATTCAACAGTAGGCCGAAGCAAGGTTTTTTGTTACTCAGTCAATACAAGCTGTGGAAGCTCTGATCCCCCATTGCGTGAGGCAATCATGCTCTTCCTCAAAACTCTCTTCGAAGCTGACAACCTAGACCAGGACTTTGAATCGTTGCCTGCGTTTAAGAAAATCACCGCTCTGGTGCGTAAGGAATGATTGTCTTATCTTTGTCTCTCTCATCGATTCTGGTTTAGTTAATATGTGTATTTTCGTTCACAGGAGATTTTCACGATTGATCGGTTAACTGATCTTATCCACCTCAACGAGGTGCTTTTTGAGGCATTGCGAAGGGGCGTTGAAAGGGTCCAAGGCAGTGCAAGTGCGAGCGCTCTCGTTTGCCTCACAAAACTGCTCGCCCTCCTCTCCTCGTGCGCTACGCTAGCGGAACGAGGAGGCGCGGCGCTGCTGCGCATGGCCCATCGCGGCGTCATGGCCACTGCCTGTCCACGCCATGCACCTCTCCAGCGCCAGGATCGCGGTCTCATTCTTCCTTTCGACTTGGCAAATTCGGCGCCCTGTCCCGATGCTGCTACCCACGCAGTTAGTCACCTCACTCTTCATTTCCCCTTCCACTTTACTTTGATCTTGTTTATTGGTATGGACAGCTAGTGTCAATTTTTTGTCAGGGCGAAAATAAGTTACATTTCATTCCAATGCTTCATTTTCGATTTCTCTTAGCTATATTCAGCGATTTAAACTAACAAACTGGTTGGATGGAATGTGTTTCTTTTACGTTCATAGTTTTTCGCTTTCTCTGTCTCTGTTTTCACCTTTATCCTTCGGGTAATCCCGGTTGATTTTAACCTTTCATCAAGATTTTTGCCAAATACTTTGTCGAATCATATTAATTGTAGGTGTGTGAGGAACCTAATAAAATAGCGAGAGTCGAAATGATTGAGTAGAGTTCATTTTGATTGATAATCCTTCTATTTGACGGTTTTGTACCAACCTCAATTGCTGTTCCGGTTACACAGCAGGCTTTTGACAAAAAGCAATGCCAAAAGATATCTGTTGTACTCGGTCGGTACGTTTTTCTCTTGATTTTTTCGATATCCGTTCCACCTCCGCTCGGATTTGGGGTAAACTGATGCATGTTTGTGAAAAGCGCGACTTGATGAAAATTTGTTAAGGGAATATGTATTAGGCGAACGTTGTATTTGAATGGGACGAAAGTCGGTACAATTCCGTAGGAAAAGCATGATCTCAAGATTAGTCACTTTTGGGTTCCTTGCTATTTCCCTCCTGAGTAAAGCAGCATTGATGCAATGCGACTTACTCTTAGTGGGATCAATCTGACTTATGAAGGTTGCAGTAGCATAGCTATAATGCTTCTGATTCCTTATTATGGAAGGGAAGTTGAATTGCATCCAAGAAAGAAGGGAAATTTCGGAGACTTCGTTGTTTTTAATGAATAGAATGGAACACGAGCTTACGCTTAGCTGAAGGAAATGGATTCATTCGATGCCCTTCCCTTTGTGATCTGCCGGAGGTTCTTGAAATGGCCACTCCCCATAAATCCATCACTAGAGTATAGCCACTAGAAAACAATGCATGAAATGAAGGAATGAAAATGCTGGACCTACATTTAAGAAAATTTGGATCCGAAATCCACTCATTTCCCATCTCCCATTTCATAGCTTTAACTTATCTCATAAAAGGTTTAGTTGATGTAAAACCTTTTCTTCTCTCGAGATTACATCTATGTAATGGGCCGCTATTTGGTATGACATTAATTGGAGCCTTCCATTCCCATTCTTTTGTAAATAATGGGTCATTTCAGGTCAATTTTGAGGTTGCGAATTCATTCCACGAGTATAAAAGGTGTACTTTTGGCTCATAGAAGGCTTGAGGTTTACTGTCATGGTCCGGAGAACATGCCACGTAATAGGGTTGCACTGGTGGGGCGTAACATGAGAGTTGAACAATAACTAAACAAATTTATATTTATTCTCGGTTTTGGGTATCGCCGTTGGCGCTCCTTATAGTGAAACCTCTCGTGTTGGACATCGCAACGTAATCAATGATGAGGGGAGAAAGTCTACGAGCGTAGGGGCATCAGTCATCAAGTTGAGTGCAACTGGAGAAGTACTTGACCGCGACATTACTGATTCTTACTGACAATCCTTTTGGACCTGATGTTCCGTTTGGGTGACTTCATAGCTTTAAGACATTTAACGCGCCAACTGTTATTGTACTTTATTTGTTGGAGAATGGAACCTTTCACTATTGTGAACATTTGAGTTTGCATCTTCAGTATGCCACTTTAGAACAAACAGTCGTTTAGGCTTTCCATTTTTTTATTTCCTCGTAATTTACTCATATCATCAGTCTTTCCTTTTTGGGGCCTGTTGATCTGACCTCATGTTTTCAAAAATAAGCTGCTTTAAATAAGAGCTGTGAACTATGGCTTAAACATCTACTTTAGAATTGGGCTCCCGCAAAAGGGCGGTTGTCCTCCCTGCCTTGCCACAGTAGCAATGGCAATGATCATCTAGGCGAAACATGGGAGCTCTGCTCCAGTCGCTTTGGAGGCCTTTGGAACATGTATGGGATGGGGAATAGGAGCACCTTGGAAGTGAGGTTAGGCGTCCTGGTGTTTAAGCTATGGCCTCATCTTCATATCCGAGTGAAATGTTTTTTCTTTATAGGTTGCCAGGTTTTCGCTCAAAATATTATTCTTCGCCATCTACCATGTCTCCTTGGCGTTTGAAACGTTTAAAGGTGGTGAGTTAGTGTTTACTTTACGCTACCCTCATTTCTTCTTCCATTAAGTAGTCCTCCGGATAAGTTTCCGTACATGCACATTTTGTCTATTTACCAAATGCAGCTCATTGGTTGGAAATTCAATCGAGAATACTTTTGAATTTTAAAACGAATGTTTTTGACGCCTTTGGCCATATTTTGCACAACAAGTAAGATGCTAATTTGAGATCCAAAACATTTGCAGTAGGAGTATTTGCCTCTGCATTTAATAAGTCCAGGGTAGCCACTGCCATTTTTGGCCAATGTGGAAATCTGTCACGAAGCTCACCGTGTGCACGTTAACTTTTTAAACGCAGTTGCTTGCTTTCCTTGTAAAAGCATGCCTTTGGACACTTTAATGGTATTTTATCCATCGGAAATTCAGGATCAGATGTTCTATGTGCGGATTGGTTATTCGAAACCGACTTCAGTACCACACTGTAGTGCGTGCACACTTGCACTTATACAACACCGTCGCTGTCTGGACCGTATAATTTTAGAATTCTATAGTAGCTAGGATGCAGAAACAGTGGTATGCAGAAACTTGGTACATCTACCCAAGACTATCCCTTTAGCTCTTATTGTTTCATTTGGTCCTCCTTCCATACCTGAGTAAACTGACTGATTCCTTCGACTTTAGTCCGGAATATCTGTTGTTTAATAATTCCTCTTCTTCTTTGGTGGAATGTGGAGAAGCATTAGACTATTAGTTTTTTCACGGAATCTGACTTAAAATGCACTTTTCAGACAATAGTTCGAGTTGAGTATTTGGGCATTATTCTCGGCTAGATTTAGACGATTTTAGGTTTGCGAATTCAAACTGATTGTAAGTCTTCATCCTCTATAAAACCATCAACTTGTGTCAATTTTATTTCTGTTTCGGGAACGCACTTTGACTTCGTTCCATGATGCATGCCTTCCAAATTGACACCCTTCAATTTGAGAAGAAAGTACTTTTGCCAAAAAACTCGTTCAATGAAAAGTGATGCATAGTTGACAACTGGATCACCGCTCTTGACTTAAACTTAGCACTTTGTCCTAATATTATGGCACTTTTAAGTAGGACATGCTTGGAGGTGAATTGGATGGCCAGACCAACGCAAGCACATCTCTCTTGGCTATTAATTGCCTGATACCCAAAAAGAGTATTCCGATTGCTCCTAATATATGCTGCCTTTGACACAATTATTTCGAACTTCCTACGTTTGTAGTGCTTTTTGATTTGCCTAATGTCGATTGTGTCCTGAGTCGTGATCCTTTCCCATTTAGTTGATGCTATGCTTCGAATATTATTTTGCACAAGTACTAGTTTGTAAATCTCTTCAGTTGTATTGCAAATTTGTGAATTTTTTGTTGCATTTTGTCGACTTGGAATCAGATTGCCTGGCAGAGAACGACATTCCATTATCCAGTTTTTTATACTTTTGAAGCATATTTTTGAATTGCTTACAACGGTGGAAGAAGACCCATTAAAACAGCGGCATAACACGATTTTTGTTTGGCACGGTTCTCTGTAACATTCTCCCCTCCATGTGTCTTGGCGAGGGACATTCCGCGTTCACTTCAGTCGTCTTCGCGACGATTATTTCACTAAGCCATGGCGTTGCCCCTCAGCTGGTCCGGAAGGTAATGCATTCGCAAACTGCCAGAAGGGTTCGAGTACTGTAACAAGGCGTTGGACTTAGTTAGAGTTGCATACCACTAGCCTTGTGCTAGCGTATAGCGTGATATAGTATACATTATCATTACACTACGCAGCTTCCAATGATCGTACTACCCGGGTTTCGCAAGACCTCCCCCCTCCCCCCCAAGGTAAGAACTAATATGACTAATAATCACTAGACTGGAACTTCTGAAGTTATCGACATCTGCATATACCGCTGATTTCGAAGAATGCATCTGTCGCATTAATTTAATGAAGTGCATTTGGATTTATTATCGTCTAATGTTTGGCGCTAATTTTCCTACCAGCTCATATCGTCTGTCAGTCATTCAAGCATGAAGTACTGAAAATATGGCATAAAACTGAATCTTCCTTTCTTCATCACAGTGTTGCCTAGTTGCCTTTAACAGTCTGCAGCGTGGGTATGCTTTGGCCATCAGGTCAAATTTTTAAGTTTACACATCAGTAATTGCGGCGGCTCCAGTGTGACCACTTTCGGTTCGTTCAGTTTTAACCTTGTTCCCTTAAAAACAATGCAATACTTGAGATTAGTTACCTTTCAAAAGCTGGTGCTGATTTAGTAGTTTCTCTGCTTATAATCTCCACATCAGGTCTCTGTCTTCTATTCGGGGAAATCAAGATTACCGCTCTTCTGGAACGATTTCGCCAACTCATCGGAGTCAACTGTGAAGCACTTGAAGGCTGTGCAGTTCTAAAAGTCTCACAGATTTAAGAAAGGCCTAAGAGATTGGTATCACACCGCGTGGAGACTTAATGGCGGCATAGGCCCATATTCACATCAAAGCATTTTCTTTGTAGTGGTGTGCGAAACGGACCCGCGAGCTCTAATTTCCATTTACTCTCATCTCTCCCAACCCTACTCCCGCTGCCATCTGGGCCTTCGGGGTGGGTCGAAGATAAGCTCACTCTGTCGCCACCGCGAGACGCACAGCGATCACGTCATCTACCGTCTCAGCGACCGATCTCTCGAAGAGAATAACAGCATTGTTGAAAATGGTATCTATGACGATGAAGAGACAGAACCCGAAGCGGAGATGGTGGACTCACTGGGTCTTTGTTCTCCCGACGGAGCTTTTGGCCTCTCGGGCACTGGAGACCGCACCATGTGTCTCCTTGTGGGCCTACTAAGGGGTGTTCTGTTCTGGCGTTGTTGCTGCTCCCCTGTTGCCATCGATTCCTCCTCAAGAACCAACACCGTCATTGTTGCCTGCGACCGCTTTGGTAGGGAGACTCTGCATGCTGACGGGTTGGGTCTTTCAGACGATCAGATCTCCCTGAAGGTTCGTGTGAGAGGAGTTCGATTACTTTTCATTACTTATGTGGTCATCGAACAAGCCTAATGGAGAAGCTGGGGTATGCAAATTAGGCATCCTTCTCTCAGCTGAAGTGAAAATCTCAAGCAGTATTTATTATTGTCACACGAATCAGTGAAGACAGTACTCTTTAATTAAATTATTTGGATTTTTGAAATTTTTCAAACGTCTCTACCTATTTTTAAACCCTGTATAGTTTTTTAAGCGTTTTACCAACTTTTTTAGAAAAAAAGGGGACCAAAGGAATTGTGTTTGCATTTTTTAACATTCGGCATAGCTTATTTGGAAACTGAAACCTTTGAGACATATGTGGATCCCAAAAGGCTATCCGTCCGATTATACTTGGAGGATTTTTCATACTAAATCCTCTCATTCAGATTAGAATTAAATATGCTGAAAACGTCTTTACTCTATTTTGCGTAAATTCTTGCCTCGCTTTCACGTGATGTACTTAATAGGTTATTCTTGGTAATGGGTACAATTTGGTTTTGTTCGGCATGCATCGGAATTGTCCCTATTGCACTACCAATGGCAAGCATGACGATGGACTGAAGTTTCAAATAGAACTGCCGCTGTTTTTAGTACGAAATTCGCGAACTTTTTCAACACAGCACTGGAAATGGTTACCAGTATTTCCTCCCACTCCGATTGTTGGGGACTCACATCTAGCTTTTGAGGCTTCCCCTCAAATACTCCTGTTTCAAATTGAGGCGATTTGTTAGTAAAAAGAATCATCATCATGATAACGAGGGTTATTAACCTTCAGCGACATGATTTTGTGCTAAGTTGAAACTGATGTTTGACAATAAAGTGCGGTGCCTCTTAAGCATCTGCTGTTCAATACAGGCAAATTGCTAGGGCACCAGTTTCTTCTTTTGAATAAGTCGCCTCCACTCAAAAGGCATACACATGTTAAGGCATGTAAGATTAGAGAAAGGTTGAAGAGTTGTTAGATGCGCAGTGGTGGGTACAGTATCAGTTGAAATAGCATGAATTGGGCATATACTGTTGGGAGCATTGATTGGGATGTTGTGGATTCATCCAGATTCTCCAGCCGCTGACGCAAAATAGCCTGCCCTTGAACGGCACGGGCGTGAACACGTGGGCCTGCCACGTGGTGGTGTTGGTGCTTAAGCAGCGTCGAAGCCTCCATCACCACCTCCTCTACAGCCAGCTCCTCACTTCTGAATTTGATGACACCGTTTCCTGTCTACTGAAGGCTCTCCAACCTACCTGCGACTACGTGAGTTCACTTCTCTTCACTACCATCCGAAAACTGTTTGATTAATGCCTTTTGTATCCCTCAGTTATCTGTTTACGTGCTTTTGGTTTGAAAATTTGTTTTCCTGCTGCGTGACCAGTGATTACCACGCGACCATTATCGTACACACTTAAAAGTGCCAAAAAGGTTAGCACAGTCAATGAAGAGATGATGACAAGTCACATTGAGATTTGCTATCGAAGCCTCCTCGTTTGATTATGTACCAATTTCTAAAAGGCGTATGTGAAATCTGGTAAAATTGCGTGCTCAATGGAACATGTGAATACTTCACTACAGCTGGAAAGTCATGTTTGCTCCATGCTTTGAATATCTTTCATCTTGGAAATAGTCGTCTTATTCAACTATCAGCTCAGCATATCTCGGTGTTCCACTTATTTATTTGGCTGTAAACTAATTTTTACTGTAATTTTGATTTCGTTGTGTAAGACTGAGGGTTATTTTGCTTGTTCACTTTTGGTTTAATGGCATTCATTGCTATTCCCGACTATGCACCTCACGAATTGAAACGAAACCTTAGTTCCTTTTAAAATCCTCAAACGCAGGGGGCTAGTTAACCACTTTTCGCTTTGTTTTGCTTGTTTATCAATGTGTGTGGCGTAGTATACGACTTCCATAGTTTTTTGCACCTCCTTTCACTGTGAATTTCCATATGTGCTTCCAGTAGCCTACACGGAATCTAATTATTCTTATGGCGAGGTGGTGGTACCTCCGAGGAGGGATCTATTTATTGACTACAGTCCGAAGACTACATCTCTCAATTCATATCTCATACGATTTTTGCTGCCAATTTTTTTAATGGAACATTAGATTAGTCTTCTCCACAGTTGACTTGAATTAATTCATTTGCATGTTTTGAGGAGTTTGGCAGAAGAAAATTCCATTTGAATCTTTACTTAAAATCCTTCAATGGTCTCATTTTGTTTCCAAAGATGTGAGTTATTTGAACCAACATGCTGTGAAATTAACACAACATCTTGATACAGACCTTGAAATGTTTTTCCAAAAAATTTTGTTGCATACTCTTGTTTAAAGGGCCACTAAATCCTTTAATGTCAACTGGTCCTTCGAGTCCCTTCCTTAACTTAACTTTGTTTTGCTACAATTATTGCATGCCTGACAAAGTTTGCGCCCTAACTTCGAAGTCAGTACGAGTATCCTAACGCCTAAGGAACTGAGTGTGATGTTTTTTGCATCGGTCACTCACTTCCTCAGGGACCACTGGGCATAGAAATTCAAGCTCTAGGGAAAATCAACTGTTGTAATCTAGACGTTAAGTATGCTGATCTGATCGTTGGCAGTATTGGTCAATTTTAACTCTATGGCGCAATGTTTGCCAAAATAACGTGTCCTATATCTGTTCTAATGCTTCAAAATGAAGCAATCAAGTTGCGATTGAAGAACATATTTCAGATGTTTGTGACGCCATGTTGACATGAAAATAGGAGTTCCGATTGCATGTGACGGCGGTGGTGCCGAAAGTGCTCACCTACCTTCTTGCCTCTTCAACCCAACCCAAGCATCTGTGCCCCGCCTCTGTAAACCTGATGAGGTCACTTGAGATCTCATTGCAACCCCTGGGAAGGGCTGTACACTACCCTGTTCTCATCATCTGTTGATTCGCTCTTCACATTCACGAAATGGCAAACCAGTCTTCCTTTCTTTAGTGCTGGCGTTTTGAATTATTGGCATTCGCTGACAACACCAATGAATCCTTATTTACAGTGGTATTTTCCGTACTTTAGGCGTGCTTTCTTGTATGCTGTGCTTAGGTTGGCCCAGATTGCGCTGAAGCGTTTTGGGCTAGTGCTATACCTGGTTTGATGTTGTAGGAAATCCAAATGCAGAGCTTTGGAGTTGGCTTCTGCAGTCGTTTGCTTAAACTCAATTTATGGTATAAAAGGTTATGAAGAAACCCTCCTCCCCTCATAGTAATTTAATGAGAAGAGGACTCGGTCCTAAGGCTGTATTGTTGTGCAATACCAATGCTTGCCATTGCTAAATCGGCCAGTGGAATTTTTTTATCTTGTATCCCTTCTAGTGGTTCAAGCTCAGTCAGTCTGGTTGCGATGCCGCTTTACATAAGCTGTTGTTATTAACTTGGTAAAGAACTTACGTCACATATTTTTAACACCAAGGTAGGGTTGAAACATCGTGTGTTCGTCGTGCCATTAACAAAACAGTCAAATTTTTTGTATTTATTTGTTGGAACTTTGGTAAATTACAAGGGGCAAATTGTCTATTAAAGTAGTTGGCATATTTATGCCTGAGTAAGTGTTAACAAAAGGCTAGAATTGGGACGAAAGTTAAGTATTGAGGCAAATTGTTTCCCAGCAACTATAAAGAAAATGCCGTTGGAATACAGTGGTGAAATGAATTTGTCCTGACGTTGTTTTTTTGTATGTGTGGATCTGGCTCCCCAGGGTCACTTTTGTAAATGCTTACTTAAAATACTTCCTCCCCATAGTTTATTGAATGCAACCTCCATGACCTTCTAATCAGCTTCTTTTTGCCAACAAAATTGACTGCTGTCCAAGAAGGTTAATGTTATATTTACATTTTGCGAGTGTGACATGGACGTATAATTATGCAAACAACAAACTGAGCGGACTTGTCAGATGTCCCCACTCTTCGTTGCACACTTGACGTCGGAAGTTGCATTCAGCATCTAGTTGCTGCGCTAGCATAATTTCTGAAGCGTGTAAATGTAGGCGGTCTTACAAGGTCGCTAGTTATATTTTTCAATATTAGATTTCTTTCCCTGCCAAAATCTTATTGATCAGTTGTCAAGCCTTTTAAACTACAAAATACTCTTGTCACACCTATTACCATGTAACCTGTTTTATTTTGCAACGATTTCCTCGTAGACATACCAATGGCTTCGTGATTAGTCCACTGTGAGGAGTTACTGTCCGGACTTCTGGCATTGTTGACCATCTATTTTAATTGCGTTTTTCAAGGATGACTACGCCGACTTCCTGGAACAACTCATCCCATTTTCTCGACTTTTTGCCTGCCTCGTCTCTACATGTGAAGACGTTCGTGTCCGAGTGAGTTGCTCTTTCTCTACCTCTACATATTAAGAGAGATGAAGCACACAAAAAATAAGTTGTATAAACTACATATTCTAAGCAATATCGACGTCACTACTTCAGATGCATCCAGTTAAAATTAACGTGTCTCCTTTTTTTAAAGGCAGATGCATGCATTGCGCGGGTAGGCTCATTTAATTTCCTTTTACTTCATACTGACAGCGCCCTCCACCTTAGTTAATATTGCCTCAGGCAAAACGATGGATCAGTTCCACACTCATCGATCACAATGCCGCGTTTGTAGGTCTGCTGTCATTTCCGTCTCCAACCACTGTAGCATAGAAAAGTCGAACTATTCTAGGTCTAACATGGACGGCGCTACAAAAATTCCGTTTAAGTAAGCTTTTAAATGTAAGCAAACACATTTCCACCAGCAAATTCCAAGTTTCCTTCACTAGTAGGCAATGGGAACAATCAAGTGGATTTGGAGAGTTTCACCGATTTCACCCAAGTGCTTGCCGTAGAGTAGAATGACAGCTTTTCGAATTCTTAATCCTCTGATTTTAGATTGGTGATTTGTCGATGATCAGAGCTCTCATTCAGATGTTTATCACGCATCCCTCCTTGACCACCAGCACCTCCGCTGCAAGCCTCAATCTTACGGTATCACCCCTTTTAATAACCTCTTTTCTCCACCCTCTCCTTCACATTTTGTCTCGACTTTTACTGTCGCATTATTGACTCATCCTAAAATTCCTAGGGAATTTAAAAGATTGTTCCTTTACGGCAATCTCAATGCGTTCTCATCCTCTACAGCTTGCTGTCTGTCAACTGCTTCACGGTTTGTCACGATCTGCTGTTTTGCTTCACACCTTCTTCAGCGATGTTTCAATTGTGAACTGTTTGATTGAGGTTGGTTGTAGAGTTATTCTACTTGTTTGTGGTTGTTGATTTTTTTTGTGAAAATATGATTCCCGAAATTTGTGACATTTCATCCGCTTTAATAAATTAGATTGCAATCAACTCACTGAGAGGAAATAGTTTTGATGATATGTCATTTGGAAAATTTCCTGAAGGCGAGTGGAGATGTAATACTTGTGCAGAATGTCTGTCATTGACACACAAAAGGGCTGCGGGTTTCTGTCATGGCCTGAAGGCTGTATCGCCAGCGGACAAAGAAGCGCGGAGCCCCAAGAACTCGCGCACCCAAAGCCAAGAGTTGAGCGAGCAAACTGTATTTCAACGATGACTCACTTATTATTTCTGTACTTTCTTGATGCCTGTGGTTCACCACTCACCGGCTTAGCATAATACGGGTCAAGAATGTTTCGTCCTTCATTGCTAGTAAACTAGCCTTTGGATCTCCCTAATTAGTAACTCTAGGTCATGTGGTCATTTAGGAATTTCGCTAATAACGTGTAGGCGTGCTATTCGCTGCGCTACTGAAAATGCGCCACTCGGAGCCTTTCTGTCCTTACTTTTCTGTTCATTTTCGTGAATTATTTGAACGCACTTCTCTTGAATAAGACACGGCAATAGGTGCCCATCATATTTCTTAATTATCCTCTCAGGTATGCACTCGTCTTCTACCCACGGTCTTGACTGATCCAATTCACGCGGAAATCGTGCTTGCTGCTTCCTCAACTCTAGTCAATCTCCAACTCAGTCAACTCCCCGATCTTGATGTAAGGGTCATGTCACCTTATTAATTTAGTGCTAAATGGCTGACAACTTTCAAATGCTGACGGTTTAATTATCTCAATTTCCGGTAATCCAAAGCCAGTTCGATCGTGCTGTTTGATAAAAAAATCGCGTCAATACTATTACCAACTTATTGAATTCAGCTATTTGCATTAGTTTATCTTAAGCGCCTCAGCATCTCTAATAAGTCTTGGTGCTCCGATATGAATGACCTGGAAACATGATCATTTGAGCTGCCCTCTTTTTTCTTTTCTTAAAATATTGTTTAGATCTCTATGCTGCTCACGCAGGAGGTGTTCTCTTTTACTCCCAGTCTCGATTTTTGATGTGTTTTATGGTTTACTTGCATATTTATTGCCATAGTCTGCACAAAACTATACTCGGTTCGTGGGTTAGAGAGCACTAGGAAATTATACTTTGAGCGCCTATGGTTTGGGAGTCTAATGTTTGCTCTATGATATTGGTGACACTGAACCTCAAAAAATCACATAAGCCTAGTGTCTGAATTCCTCAACTACCAGGTTGAGACAGTTGTGTTGTACTGCTCCAAGTGCTTGCTGACTTTTAGTTCCAGACGTCTCGGGTCAAATGCATTGACATTTTTCACTCTCTCGCGAATGTCGGCAGTGTGGAAGTGGAAATTGCACTCTCCCTCCGTCTGAATGGTGTCTGGGGTCTTGCCAGTGCGGCAGCTATTGCTGCCTCTAATCGACTTGCTAATCGTCTGGAGGTTATCGAACGTCTAGACGCATCTTCCATCGTCCCAGAGCTCATCTCTCAATGTAGTGCTCTCCTCTCGCCGCTGTTGCCTGTTGGTGGTTGGTCAGTTTCAAGTGGCGTCGATTTTCAACTTAAAAGTGGTCCTTTGCTGTCACGTCTTCCCCGATTCCGAAAGGAACTTCGTTATAACCATGTAGATGAGCTAGCTAACTACTAATAGAAACGGCACATTGCGTCTTATGTTACCAAGCTAATGATCGAAACTTGGAGACCTGTAGGTTGACTTAGTTAAACTGTGACTGTAATGCGCGTCCTTGTGTTGAAGTGGAGTCCACCGAGGATTGCAAATTTAAGCGATACGCAGGCAAGTTATCTTCTGCAGATAGTGTGCTTAATTTTACACTCTTCAAACGCCAAAGTGTTCGTCATTTTACAGTTTTCTTTGCTCTTATGCAGCGATGACTATAGAATAACGGATCTTGATGGATTTGAAATTGTTGTATCAGTATTTGCTTACGCATCCAAAAGGAGTGGGAAACTGGTGTTGTTGTCACGTGCATTACGGGCGTTGGGCTTGCACAACAGTGTCTTTGAATTTTCATTGGTTAGTCTGGTAAAAGATGTTTTTTTTGCTACGCTACTTTTCAGAATTGTTTGGCTCAACATGTGTGTAAATTCTTTCCTTTTCGAGTTGCTGCTTTTAATGCATGTCCATGTCTAGTAGCTCATTAATTGTTCAAGTGCCTCAGCTATTGCATTGGTAACATTTGTTTGTTACTGAAGTGATCGGTGGTTTTTGTTCCCGCCACAATGGGCACTATTTTTTGCGCAACCAAAGACACGTCAAGCATTTAAATGTAACGTTCTTTTTTCGATATGAAGCGCTACTCCGACGGTGGATAGAAACAACCAAAGGAAAGTAGTGTTTGAGACGAGCGGAAGCGTGCTCAACTCCAAACCCTCACGAAACCATTTGGAATTGTACTTCATTCAGAAGAGCCTTCTCTTGCTTCGCAATTTATTCGCTCTAAAGGAGGTATACATTTGTCTACTTTCAAACTTATGAGTAGCCATTATTTTATGTTACTGTCATGTAGTGGGTTAATAAAAATAAGGATAAGGTGAGCTGCAATCCCTCATCACTGTGTTAACTTTAGGTACAAATGATGGACTACAGTGAACGCGTTTTCTCCCTCCTGGCGAAAGTGTTATTGTCGAACCACTCTGTCAGTTCCAAGTATGAGGTAAGAGGTTCCTGCCGCTTTTTTTGTGTAATCGGGCATTTTATCCCGGTACTTCTACTAGTGATTTTATAGGCCCACCAATTTTGATCATAGTTTTATAAGATGCACAGTCTCATATAATTATTCCAACGATGTCTTGCTTTTACTTCTATCAAATAGTGCTGATTTAAGCAAAATAAGATCGTACGGATGTTCATTAATCAAATTTTGAAAGAGAAGGGTCATCAGTTCAGTGCTTTTTCTTAACTTTAAGGCGATGGTAGTTCTGGCTAATCTTCTCACTAATGCTGACGCTCGTAGTCAGTTTTGGTACCAAAGTGAACTCATTGAAGCTCTTGCAAAAACCATTACGGTGAGTCGCTTGTCTAATTTCCATTTTTATGTTGTTCGAGCTCTAGCATGTTCGGCCTTACTTTCAGCCGGATGCTGAAACAGCCCTTCTTTGTGGTGTAATACTGGTGATCGTGAACATTCTGGAAGCTCCGGAACGTGAGTCTTCTACCTTTGCATTACCTGTTTGCATGCCTACAGCATGTAAGCAGTTTTTTGACAGCTTTGGGAATTTCCCTAAACCATTGGATTTGTTGATTCAAGTTTCGCACACTTGTTAAGGAAAAGACACATAATTTTGTGTTTAGCTTCGCTAATCTAAGTTCGCGTTGCTTTCCACAAAACGGTTATGCACCTGAAATATGTCGATATCCACACCCTAAGTTAAGAGGATAGATAAGTTCCTTTGCTGACTTGGAAGGCTAAAAGCATAGATTAGTATTTTTTTTCATTCACGCTTGATATCAAACTCTACTACGTATTTGACTATGGTTGAAATGTGTTGGGATTTTTCCTCCATCTTCAGCTCTGGCGACTTCAGTGGGTGGAGATTCACCGGGTGAACTTTTCACCCAAATCCTCAGTCTCCTCCTCTTTGATGATTCCCGGAGCTATCGCACTGGCTACAAAGCATCCTCTTCTTCCTCTTGGTGTCGTCGTTCATCGTTACGTTCATCACAACGCCGATCTGTTGCCACCACGACAACCTCTTCTAGTCCCAGTCGGCAATCTCCCGAGGCCATGGAAACCACTCCGGATACTTCTATTGAAGCCTCAAAACCATCGCCACCTCCTGCGATTGAAGCTGAACCCCAAGACAAACCCTTGCTCCGTCTACTAGGCAGCTTTATTGATATCTTCCTTGTCTACTCGGAAACGAGTACTTCTTCTGGGTCCTCCACTTCTGCTGCCACCAGTAGCAGTAACTCGAAACAAGTATTTCGAGAAGTCTGGGACTGGCAGTACCAGTGTGGCCGTGGTGGTGACTCCGATGACGAAAGACCACGAAGACGGAGAGGCAAAAGATTTGCCACTGTAGCCACCTCCACCACCACCTCTTCCCATTATCGCAACAGCTGCCCTCTCCTCCACCGACAGGAGGCCAAATTTACTCTTGCTAAGAGCTTCACAGACGCCGCGGGGACCGCAGGTGGGTTGAAGAGCCTACTAACAAGTCTGGTTGGGGATGTTGAAGATGAACCGACTTCCCCATCACCACCAAGGAGGGTGGAAGCATCGGCGGGTAATGCAATCTCGGAGGAGGGTGAATTTGAGGACAATTAAGGCGATGTAAACCAACTCATATTGTCACATTATTTATATACTTATCCGAACCTCTACTTTTTGTTAGCGCTCCCCTATTTTGTCATAAATTTGTCTCTGCACTATCGAATGGCCTTGCAATTTCATTGCGGTATTATCACCCTCTAAATATGTGCACATGAAAGAAGACTTTGTCTTATGCATTGTAGTTATTTTACGAATAGGAGGCTTGTAAAATACAGCTGATGCATGGAGCAGCCCCCTCCTAACGTTAAAACTGTTTCGCGTGTTTGCGCACGTGCGTACTTCAGCGAACCGTGACTTGTGCATAAGCGAAGTCGCTTAACTGGAATGCGCATCAGGCTTCTTGTTACCATGGCGCATGATGCTAGCTGCGTCTTTTAGAAACTGCACCTCTCTACGAGTACTTCAAAAGGCATCGATTTACGGACCGTGATTCAAGCCGTTGGAAAATCATCGACTTGAGCGTTGAATGACTGATTTTGAGGGCCATTCAAATCGAACAGTGGGAATTTGTCCAAAAGACCCACCACTATCGAAAGTGCAAGCTGTGCAGTTTTACCGCGTGCCTCGACAGGAACTCCTAACTAAACTGGGATGTTGCGTTCGCGTGGGGGTGTGCGGTATCTACTTTTATCCACAAAGTATTTCAAATTCGCAACCTGTACCGCAATCGCCCAGCAGTCAGGAATTGGGCCTAAGTCCCTTTTCATGTCACTATCTCAACAGTCATTTAATACTGTGATCACACAATAGCTATGTGCGGAATTCCATATTTGATAGCCAATGCAGGGCCTGGAATTAAATAGCGCAAAGAACATGCTGTTAAGTGAACGACGAACACATGTGGTCTTCAACCTGAACAGACCTATTCGATTGTTCTGAGTGGCAGCAGCATAGGCTATTCAATTCGGAGCACGTTATCTCATTTCGTCTGCATGTTTTTAAACCTCACAAAGTTTAAACCCCAATGGTCCCTCCTTGCGCACCGTGTTTGGAGCTTCACTTACTCCAGCACTTATAAAACTTACCCTTATAACGATGACTATGCATTTCTGGGTTCATATTAATTTAGTCTCAACGTCAACCGAGTGGAGTAAAATTTCGTTCATTATCCAAAGCGCGTCTGCGCTAAGCTGCACAGGCAGTCACTCGCATCTTCTCAACCTGCAACGCAGTTTCCGCAGATGAAGAACATTGCACATTAAACGAATCCACCAACTGATGCCTCGTACTCCGAAGGTGACACCCGTTTTCCTTCAAAAGGTTGTATAAACTCAAGTACAGTTGTGTCTCAATGGTTTTGGTGCTTGTAATGAGTTGCACAGGTAGCACAGCTTTGCGTATTTAAATACTGGGTTAATTCACATGAGCCACAGAGGTGGGAGTCTGACGTCTCACGAAACCACTTCAGATGTAGCTATCCAGTGACAAATTTTAGCAAAAAACGAATTTAAGTTGACCCAGTAGTTGGCACGGCTGAGCCTTTATAAGTAGGTAGTATTTAGGGTACAACTGATGTAGTGGCATAATCGGACAGGGATCAGAGTTATGGCATGTGAAACATTGCAATGGCATCTGGATACTCACCAAACGCAATGCAGAGAACAGTCCGAACCAAGGGCGTTCTCGACACGGCGTAATCAACTCAAAATATGTCAAATTTGAATTAGAGGGTAATAACAAAAGCAGCAGACGGCGCGAAAAACGACACCATATCCCTGCCGACAATGCTATTCCATTAAAAGATAATTCAGTTCCGGGCCTTTACCAGTAGATTCCGTTTACCATTGCTACTCAGCCAACATCGCAGCAGTCACAACTGTAATCGAGGTCGGTTGAGGTTCTTGTCAGATAAAATACGCAAAAACATTTGTGTTGAAACTACAGTTAAAGAGATTGATAGGCAATATGAAATCCATGTAGTGTATAAACAGAGTAACAAGCAGTAATTAATGAACAGCAACTCTAAAGTAACTCCAAAAAATCCACCCATAGAGAAGTAATGAAGCGATATTTGTGGGACAAGGACGTATATTTAGTCAGAATCTGAATCACTGACTGAAATTGAGTGGTCCAATTGTTTCTCTAGAATGTAGGCATCCTGCGGTGAAAGCCGGTGGTAATAATTTTCAATCTTGCTTGTGATTTGGAAGCCAAATTTCTCATAAAACTTTACAGCAGCATCATTTTCAATATGCACGTGAAGATAAACTGACTGTACTTGCTTGTTTTTCATACATTTCCGCAGAACATGACGAAGAAGCAGAGAACCGACACCATAACGACGATAAGGTGCCAGACAACCCAGAGTCATAATATAGCACTTCTTGAGGTTTTCCGCTCCATTTAACTTTTCAAATCGGTAGCAAACTGCCCCGACGACTATGTCGTTAAAGTAGGCAAGGCGACAGAGTTGTGGTTGTTTAAGAAGATCGGTATAGAATTTGTCCGTATAATGTACAGGAAAAACTGTTCTGTTGATAATCTTTAGCTGATTTACATTGTGTACAGTCAGTTCGCCTAGTTCAATGCGCACATCATTGGCTTTCTTAAGCTTAGTTACAGTGCCGTTGATTGAGGGCTCCGCCGATGTCATTCAGGTGCCTGGAACGCCAGCGGCAAGAAACGGTCACGAACCAAATGGGCTAGATCGGCTATACTTTGATAGCGCGAGCATCTGATTTGTCCATGCATGATGGTCGTACCTGCCAGAACAGGCAAATTTTTAACATTAAAAACAAGATCTAGAACGCCATTTTCTTTGTCGATTTGTTGAAGAAAATTTTATGGGATTTGCACAAGCATCATGGTGTGTTTATTGAGGACGGGAGAGTAGAGGAACATCCATTTTGGGACAGTAATATGGAGGAATGTTAATCAGTTTATCAGAACAAAATACATCTGGAACATATTAAAATGCCTACAAGTGGAAGAATGAATCAAATCATATGAGCCCTACGTGCTTGCTTAAGTCTGAATAAGCACCATAAACTTGAAAATTTGCAGTGCAATTGGTTAAGGATCAATTTCTAACATTTACCATTAAAGATACCGCAAGGTTCTGTGTTTATACTTCGGTATTCGTCCGACCCTTGAACGGTAAGCTGGTCTACAGGTCGAGCGAGGATTCAGTTCTTTCTTCTCCTAGTATACATGCATACAACTCAGAGTGGTCGAATAACGTAGGCATGGCACCGTGATTCACAAAATTGCGATGATCGAACAGAGGATTTACAATGAATTTATCTGAAACTTCAAGCAGGACCCCAAAAGACCAACTGTTCTATGCTACTAGTTACGATGGAGCTTAATTCAACATTAACTGGAGTGACAATCATCTCCATGGTATGGCAAAGCTGATTTTAGATCTTTAGCCATTGCTGTAATGGGTTTTGTGCTTCTCCCTTTCGCCTCTTCATTCATTTAGTAAGAGAAAGGGATGAATAGAGGGTATCATGAGTAAAGCATGTTCGGCGAATATTTTTCTGAAGGCCGGCGCCGTTGGGAGCATCACAAAAATTGCATTTCCCACTATACAGTGCATTACATCCAAGCTGTTGATTTGGCACATAAATCTGTTAAAACAAGGACATTTATGGAGTTGATGTTGGTGAAATACAGAAAGGGTGCGACCTGTAGAGTCCGAAGTGTTTGCGGACATGAACGCACCGTCAAAACCTTCCTTCTCCCGTGTGTCTTTCAGTTTCCTCCAGGCCATCATTCCGCATCAAGTACCACACCACGGTTGGTGCCTTAGACCCCACTTTCGAACCAGCATGACCCTCACCTGCTTTTCTTGCAAATCAAAACAACTTTCTCCCATCACCACTGACTCACTCCCCCAACCTCATTGGGCTTTCACAATGGCTATTCTTTGTAGGCTGTGTTGAGAGATGAGTATGCACCGACTTCACATGGCTAGGAACTAGATGATGATCAACAAGGATAGAAAGCTCGTGCGTCCATTGCTGCTCGCGAGGCAGTTGGTTTGAAGGAGCATCCGTGTGAAAAGAGGAGCAAGGCTTGAACTAGA